GTACGGTCGTGTAAATTTTCATCTCCTAACCACAACTCTACTAAATGACAATTAATAAGAAAAAAGAATCATACGCTCCAACGACAATTAATAGGAAACGGAGGGAGTACTTGTTACTTGTGCGACTTACATGTGTTATATCATAATAATTTTTCTAACTTATAACATATAACTACATTAAACATGAATATATTAATTGAGAAATAACTTTATTTTTTGATTATTTTTAATAAATATGTTTTTATTATTGTAAAGATAAATATAATTTATTTATTTTATATATACAATATACATGTCAAATCGAATCTTATCAAAAGATGATTATACATTATATATGTAAAATCGATAACAAATACAAAAGTTATCAATTTTTAAAATACATTTACAATTCAATAGTTATAATAGTTATAATAGAAAAAGATATTAAAATATAATTAATACATCTAAAATGATCAAAAATAAATCAACATATTTATGGTAATCCGAACCTAATTAGTTTTGGATTGGAATTAAATTAAAATCTATCCAAGCCAACCAACAAAACATGGAATTTTGACACCTAGGATTCCGAAGCATGCGAGCTTGCCACTTAGGCTCAACACATTCGAGAATTTTATATAGGGGGATATTGGCTTATTTACAAACAAGCTACATGTTTTGTCAAAGTCATATTAATAAATAAAAAATATTAAATATTCTCCTTAAACAAATAAATATAAAAAAATTACACTAGATTGAGCCTTTTTTTTTCAATTCATATTATTTCATAGATTTTAGAAGGATATATAAAAATTAGGAAGATGCTATAGTCCTGTTACGGAACCATTCAGTCGGGGTTTGTAACTATTAGATCATCATATAACCGTCGGAGATAGTTAATCTAACGGTTACAAACCCCGACGGAGTGGTTCCGTGACGGAACCGTAGCATCTTCCTAAAAATTATCACACTATATTATAGTAATTTTTAAAGCTGCAGACGGAGAGTACTATCGTAAACATACTCTCATCTTTTTGTATTTTGATAAGTTGGATCTCGTATTTTTCTTTCTTTATTAAAAATGATATAATTGCTAATTATCCTTTAATTTAAATAGTATTCATATTTGATTTATTTTGCTTAAATAATATAATTTGTAATTATCATTTAATGAAAACAGTATTTATAATTATTTCCAATATTTTCGATGGTAAAAAAATTAGAAAAGAAATAAATACTACTCATGTACCAATTCTACCGTCTACTTTTCTGTTACAAATTGGAATTTATCGACTCCCTAAATAAAGATATCACATGATTTTTATTTTTTTAATATAAAAGTTCTCCAATTGTGTGGCTTATCACAAAAAATGGGTAAATCATGTTCATGTAGCCCAATATTTAATTTTTAAAAACTAATATTAATATTAATACGATATTTATTTTTATAAAACTACTTTTAATATTTATTTACCTCATCATAACCATAATTAAATTAATTTAATATTTTATCCATGCATTGCACGGGTGTGTACTAGTTATTTGCAGAATTGCAGTTTACTAATTTTATTAGCATCACTAGCTAGTAATGCTCCTCTATACATCACCAATGTGTGCATGTCACATGAACGGTGACATATTAACATGTGTCCACCGTGAGTATAAGAGCATTACTGCATCACTAGCTATCAAATAATAACATTTCTTTAATTTCCTCACCAAAATAGGTTTCTCTCCTCATTTCCCTGATGAGGATATATAATAGCATACATACATATTTAGGCAATTTAATTTGGATGAAATTACATTGAAGGACATGATTTTATGTTATTGCGGCACAATAAGACCTGAATTTTCAACCTTTTTATTTAATGTTTCAATTTTAAGTTATTCTCAATATAAGACATACTTTTGCATTCTACTTTTTAATTTAAGACTCTAAATCATTTTGTATTTTGATATAATTATGTAAACCACAATACTTTTTTTTAAAGTTATTTTATAATTAGTTAGAGATATTTTTAGTAAAATTACTTTACTAAGAAATTAATTCATTTAAGCAAAATTCATAAAATGTAATTCCTACTAATTTGGATTAATTTTCTTACGAAGCTAGTTTTACAAATATATTTAATACTTTTTATTATAGGAATTAATTTTATATATTTTTAACTTTTTCAAATAATATAAATTTTATTCACAAACAAGATTTTCTATATGTTTATTTAAAAAATAAAAGTAACTTTTAAATAGTTTATATTTTAATGTTTTCATTTATTTTGATTAAAATTAAGTTAAATTTTATTTTTTTCAACTTTTAAAATTAATTTCATTAAGCTTTTGTGGCGCGGTAAATTATGAAATAAATATTTTATTATGTATTTTTTACTAAATATAT